TGAGTTCACAGATTTTTTTGAAATATGCACATGAGAACGTTTGCTTAAGATCCACAGTTTTACTGAATAAAACAAATTCCAAAAGGCAGACACACCTCTGATTAAGCAGTCCTTCACAGAAGACATTTCATATACTGTACATGCTTAGAGATGGAGGTGTGAAGTTCTGCCTCTTTCACAAACGTCCCACAGCCTTTAATTAGGATGTTGCAGCTAATCTCCAAAAACAGTGCTCCTGGATATCAAGTGGGACTGTAATTCCATATGGGTGGGGATAAGTGCGTGGCTGTCTTTTAAAGGGACCATGCAAGACAATGTTGCCTTTGGGTTTTCTGGTTTTATATTTTAGGCAGACTTACAAGCATTAGTGTGTTTGAGGAATGCACCGTGACAGGTTCTTTTTTTTCTGGAATACAGTGGCCTCCTAATAGGGTGCTGTGCTGGTAAAACTGAGCTCAGAAAGTCTAACACACTATTATATGCATGTAAGTCACAGATTGAACACCCTCTGTTTCCCAAGACATATGTCGAGCAAAACAGCACGGCAGAGTACCAGAAAATATATCTGACACATGGTCCCCATCTTCTCTTTGAAAGCTTAATTTATTAGTTTTCTTTGACTTAGTTTTCCCCTCACAATAGCTGCCACACTAACAATTTAACAAATAAATTATACCAATAATCTTGTAATTTACAAAAAGTTTCTTAGTACAATAAAGGAAAACAAAATATACTATTTGGTACACGTTTGCGTATGATTGGATACAGGTAGTCCACATAGATATTCCCTACATCTGGAGGTAGTGGGAGCCCACAAATATAAATACATTGCGCAAAAGTAAAAATGCCAACACACACAGATGTGTGTGTTGAGAACATGTAATGGTAATACTGGGCAATTTAGCATTCAAAGTTAAAGTTCTCAGAAATGCCCCAACCCTAATATATGAGGGATTCATGAATACAAAAGATTTGACATCCAAACTTATCAAGAATCATCTGGTAGCTCGGCATCTTTAAGAATGTCCAATAACTATGGAGTATCTGTCACATACGATGGTAATATTTCCACATGGCACATAAAAAAAATCAATATAGATG